GTTCCGGACCCCGTGCATCAATTCCGTTTTTCCGAAAAGCGCGGGAGCATCCCATTTTCGCGTTTAACGCGAATTCAACGAGATTTTTTTGAATTTAACGAGATTCATTAATTCCCCCGTTCTGTGGTAAAATAAATACACAGGCGATTAGCGTATCGGACACTGACATCGGCTTGTCTTTGGTCATCCAACATGAAATTCAGACGGGAAATCATTCCCCCATCCACTGCAAGCCCTAGCAATACTCCCTGATAAAATGGAAAAAGGCTCTCGAACGAATTCGGGAATTCGAAGCAAGCGGGTGGATTGAACCCGCCACTGGCCCATGGTCGTTTCCAGTAGTATTAGTGCCGAAGAAAAACGGATCAATCCACATATGCATCGATTATCGCAAACTAAATGAAATCACGATTAAAGATGTGTATCCCCTCCCCCGGATTGATGATTTGTTGGATGCGATTGGATGTGCTAATTATTTTAGTAAGTTCGATATTCGGCATGGCTTCCATCACATTCTGGTTAAGGAGGAAGATCGACCAAAGACGGCCTTCGTGTTGTTTGAGGGCACGTGGCAGTGGGTTCGGTGTCCGATGGGGATTTGTAACGCGCCTGCCATATTTCAGCGAGCGATGAACATGACGTTCCAGAACTTCGTGAACAAGACACGGCTAACTCAGGGAATGGTCAACTTTTGCGTGATCGTATAGATGGACGATATCCTTGTCTACTCGAAGACCTATCACGGACATGCGCAACACATTGAGTGGACGTTGGGAGCACTGAGAGACGCTGGATTCAAGATCGCACTCGAGAAGAGCGAATTTTTCCTCTCGGAAATTTCGTTCCTGGGTTACGTCGTGACACGTGGAGGATTGCGGCCTGACTCAAGAAAGGTCGCGGCGGTGAGAGAAGCTCCAGTTCCCACGTCGCTGACGCAGGTTCGAGCCTTCTTGGGGTTGGCATTGTACTATCGCCGTTTCATCAAAGGCTTCGCCGCGATTGCACGACCACTAACGAACCTGTTACGAAAGGACCAACCTCTCAGTTGGGATGCAGAGTGTGAGCAGGCTTTCGCGACCCTCAAAGACGCTCTGGCGACGACACCTATTTTGATCCGACCGGACCCCTCGAAACAGTTCATTCTTATCACGAACTGGCAACCCGAAGCTATTTTCGATATTTTAGCGCAGAAGGGGAACGATGGTCTCGAGCACGTCATCGAGTACACGTCACCAACGGTGTCGGACGAACGAAGGAATGACTCAGCACCCCAAGGCGAATGCTATGTAGTAGTTTGGGGAATCCAGCACTTCCATCCGTATCTCTACGGGCAGAAGTTCCGCCTCGTGACGGATCATGAGCCCCTGCTGGCTTTGAAGAAGCTCACTAATTACACGGGTATGATTGGACGTTGGGCGGTACGACTACAGGAGTACGACTTCGACATCATCCACCGGAAGACATAAAGACACGGCAACGTGGATGGACTGACGCGTCTGCATCGGCCCGCTAAAGTGCCTAAGGGCGAGGAAATCACTCCATGGAAGGAGTCAGAACTGGCAAACGAACCTAAATACGGACAAGTGGCAGTTCTCCCACGTGGCAAGAAGCAGACCGATGGCAATGGGTGATGGAGGTAACCTCACTACCCCTCTTTCTCCCATCTCCTCTTCGTCTATTCCCTCCCTGCCTGATAAATTTTGCTATTTTTGCGAAGCAATTTCTCGCGTGTACTCGGTCTCCATGCGTCCTAACGGGTAAGGCTATGTGGAATGGGTAAATTGTCGACAGTGTGTCGCACGGGCCCATGACTCGTGCATTCAATACTGAAATGACAGCAAACTGTGGCTATGCCCCTTGTGTCGGGTTGACAAGATCCCGACCGAGGCTCACTTTTTGGATGCCACGTCAGAAGGGTTGGAAAGGACCCGGAAGTTTAGAAGGGCCGAAGCATGGACCGACATAGCTTTGATTGCCACCTTAGTGGGTAACCCCCTCCAGGATTTCACCAAGGAAGATCGGAGGAGGGCTAATGAAAGGGCTCGGGATTACCGATGGATAGAGGGTAGGTTAGAAAAACGGAAAACGGACGGCAGTGGGATTTGGATGGTTGTACCGCATCCGTTCATGAGGGATGACTGGTGAAGACAGCCCACGAAGAAATGGCGGCCCACTTTGCCGTACGAATTACGGAGTCGGCAATCGACAAAAACGAATGGTATCGGTCCAATATTCGGGACGATGTGAAATTCATCGTTGTGAACTGTCAAGTCTACGCTGCTGACAAGGCGCCGATATAGCCGCCCAGATCGATAGTGCCAATGGTAGTCGAGCGGCCGTTTCAAAAGGTGAGTATGAATACTACCGATATCGTGGTACCCCCTGGTCCAAATAGCTGTGAGTATTCAGTCCTGTTGGTATTTGTCGACCATTTTTCGAAATGGATCGAGGCCTATCCATGTCGCATGCGGCAAGCCACCGAAATTGTGCGGTATCATGTTAACCGTTTTCTCGGGATGCACCAGGATACAGAAGAAATCCTGACCGACAACGGGGCAGAATTCAGAGGGGAAGTATTAAGGAACCTGGTCATACATGGTGTCGCTGTGCGGAATACCGCACCCCACATGTCACGATCCAATGGGCTGGTAGAAAACGCGAATAGGGTGATAAAGACAACACTGCAATGAAACATCGTGGCATGGGACCCCAGACCTTGGCCCGATATCGTAGACCACATCTTCGCGGAACGCCCAACGAATCAACGGGTCTGAGTCCCTTCCAATTAAGGACCAATAGCGTCGCTTGTGTTTCGATACCGAGCCTCCCTGATGAATCAACACTCAACCGGCGGCCCACAAGAGCCACGGTTCGGGACAAGGCCAAGCGGCACCTAGAGCTAATGGAACAGTCCCTCCCCAGGCTAGCCCGCAAAGGCCAGAAACTGACTGAGTTGGCCCATGGCCGACAGATCTGAAGCTACGAGGCCCGGAACGGAAACGCATGTCCACGACCCCAGTACAAATTGGGGGACATTGTGCAGGTGAGGAAATGTGCTCGCCAGGGTAAGCCAGCGCCACGATTCTTCGGGCGATTCCGCGTGATTGAGATCGGACCGAACGGCGTGAACACCGTGCGGCTTGCACCTGAGGTCTTCGGCAGCCAATCGGCTCGTCCGATCATCTGCCACGTTTCCTACCTTCGTCCCCTTCCTCCTTCCCCATCTTCGCCTTCATCTAATTCCTCCTCCGCTGCGGAAGAGGACGACGATTGCTTAGATCGCCTGTCTTCCCGTCTCCTTCTCGTTCTCTTTCTATTACCCCGTCCCCGTCGCCGTCGCCATGAGTTTTCTTACGAAGCGAGCTCTCGACGATCCTCTGCTGGTGCCACGGTGTTACATCTCGGCGATCCGACAAGTTCATCACCCGCGGCTCAACCCGGACCTTCGGCGGCTTGCACAATTCTTTTGTACCCAGGGAGTGTACGCGGCTGCTGAGTTTCGCTTTGCAGGCAGTCCGCGGGCGGTTGTGTTGGCGGAGGCGGTAGCAGTTCACAGGCGATCAACTCCTGGAATCAGCCACGTGTCTACGGTGGTCGCCTTCAGTGGCGACATCAGCACCATCAGCCCGCTACGATATACAACTATCAAGATGATGCTTCGATTGTGGGCGCAACAGTTGGCGTCAGAGTGGAATCGCTGGCTCACTCCCCACTGTGATAATCTTTTCCCCACGGACAACATCGACCTCGACGGGATCCGAGCTTTCCAGCACGAGCCGGCGGTGGTGCTCCCAGGACTTATCCCCTTCCCCCGTCCTCAAATAACCCATCCCCAATCTCCACTTTCGACCTCCCCTCCTTCTTTCCGCACCTCTCCTTTTGTCTGGAATCACTCGTTGTCCCCCTCCTCGATCCCCAACAGTGGAGGCGTTGGTGAGAGCACTTCGTAGAGTTATCGGTGTGTCTGGTCGGAGTAAGAGTCACGTGGACGCGACACGAGGATCACCGCCAGTGGGCTGAGTACCTTGAGCTGCTTATCATCCAGGCATGGCGAACGGGAGTGCAGGGAGATCTACTCGGATTCCTCTTCGGATCGGTGCGGCCCGATCATCGCCAACTGATCGTGCAGGAGCTAACGGTCCCCCTTGCGCAGCTGGCCGATGATCTCCCACTTGAGATCGTCTCGAAGAGCGACGACAGCCCAGTCCCGCACGTTCTCACGCGGACCTTGGCGCCATATCTTCAGTGGTCGGCGTGCTTGGAGAAACCGGGAAGCGGCCGCAACCCACCATCACAGCGCGGTTATCTGGACCCGCACAAAATAGTCGATCTCGCCTTCTTTCAAGATCGAACGGCCTCCGAGAACGAGGAGGAAGAGATTGAAGCGGAAGAAGAAAGCTCAGAAAAAGAAGAAGCCGAAGAAGAGGCCGACGAGGAAGAAACTCTCGAAGAGGGGAGTTACAGTGAGCACAGCGAAGGCAAGCAAGGTGAGGAGGAGGAAGAAGAACAAGGGGACGACGAGGAAGAAGAAGATCAGGAGGAGCTGGAAGAGTCGGAGTGGGAAGGATTCGAGGAGGAAGTGTGTGACGAGGCTCGGGCGCAGGCCCAGGCACAGAAGAGGGAAGAGATCGCGGCCGGGAAACGACAGTTGGAATTCGCCAGTGCAGTTGGTCAGCCGCGCACCGACGATCCAGCCCGAGATCCAGAGCCACCTAAGCCCGAGGATGGAGAGACAGCTGCCGAGACTTCGGCTGCACCGGCAAGACGGCGACGAAGCTGATCCCCCTCCCCCTTCGCCACCGACCGCCCATCAACTCGTCCACATACCGATGCGGGGCATCGGGCTTCGTCCCCGGTCGTTATCCCACCGTCCCCTTGACCACCTCTCTTTCCTCCAGATTACCACTCGCGTCACCTTCCCCGACAATCCCTTCCCCATTGATACCTTCCGCTTTTTCTACACTACCCGCCTCGCTGTCACTGTTCATCCCCACCCTTCCACCCGATGCGCCCTCCCAATCTTCTGCCTCCATATCCTCTTCCTTAGTGCCGCGTGGCGAGGCCACAATATAATCGAGGTATACTGCATGATTACGGGGACTATCCCCACATGCGAAAACCACGATCACTTCCGCGCGGCGCTCTTCCGAACCTTTACCACCCTCTACCCCGACTACCTCGCGTCCCTCCCCCACACGGGTAACCGATTCCCCTCGCTTTCACCGGATCGTTCGCTATCAGGAACTTCCGGAGACGGTGGCCGGAATGGAGAGCTTCCTTCCCCCACTACCAATCAACCCTCCCCCTCGCCACCCTTCCATGTACCGTCTCCCCTTTCCCCTCCCCGGCGCTCGCTGATGTATGACCGATGGCCACGCGTCCTGACGACGACACGTGTAATCTCCTCCTTGGATTGTCGATGGCCCTCCCTCAGGAATTAGTAATAGAGTTGTGTTGCCACGTTGGACGACGTCCACACTCCTTCGAACGGTAAGTGGCATAGAGAGAAGAGTTCCGCGTGTCAATCGATTAGAGAGATCGACACGTGTCAACAAGCAAGCAGGAACTTGCTAATATTGGAACCCCCAGGGCGTCACATATGTGACGAACCACTTTCTGTAGCGCGCGACTTTCTGCGCGATTGCAATGAGGGATCCTAAGATGGGAAGGTTGGGCCAATTACGGGAGATCGGGATCGGTGGGAAATTGCATCAGTACCCTCGCTTCTTCGTCTTTTTCGTCGTCTCCTTTTTCGATGGTGGGGTTCGGAACTGGGCGTGTCCCAGGACAGGTGATTGATTGGTCGGTTGAATGGCTGGCGCGTTGTTGAGCGCACGAATAATAAATGTTGATGTCGTTTCTTTTGTTTCGGTTTTGGAACTTTTAGGCGCGGACGCCGCACGGGAATTTTGCTTAATCCTTTTTGAAATTTCCTTTTCAAATTCTTCTTCGAATTCTTTTTTTGAATTTTGTCGAGCCCCGATGACTCTCGAAATTTCGGACTTTCTTTCTGGAACTTGTGCTTTTTGCTTTTTCGCATTAAATAGGAGTTTAGGAATTTTGTAATTAGGACTTTCTTTTGCCGCGCGTCGTCTTTTGCTTATGCGCTTCTTCATGCGGCTGCAACGGAATTCTGATTAGTTGGCTCCTTTAATCGGGTGTGTAACTGTAATTTTGGGTTGGCGCCATTGTAACTGTATCTTTCTTCTTGTGCTTCGTCTTTCCTGGCCTTCTTCTCTTTCTTTTGCTGCGTTTTTGGTAGCCACGGCCTGCATGATCGGATCGATGCGTGGAGAGTAGGTCCCCCACGCCGCGGGCAGGTCATTCAGAACGCAGGCGCTCCCTCTCTAATCTTCCTTCTAAATCCTTGTAATTCTGTGTTCTTCGCGCATGCATGCACGCTATAAATTTCGGTTGCGCGATTAGTTAGCTCTCTTAACCAGCTGTTGGAAGCTCGAGGTTGCGCGATCAGAGAGGGTCGGCACACGAGTGAAGCTAGAGGTGAGTAGAGCAGGAGTCAGGCGACCCGACGAGCTGGTGCCAAACGCGCGGTGTTGACGCGGGCCACGACGGACTGTGGGCGTGGGCGAACCTGATAGGTGCGGGAGGACTGAGCGGGGTGACGGCTTCGTGGGTTGGTGCGCGACGACGGACTGTCCGCATCAGAGAGAGAGAGAGAGAGGAAGAGGGAGTTGAGGTTGATGGACGCGGATTTGCTGTTTCTTTTATCTTTTTTCCCTCCTGTCTCGTGTACATAAATTTTGGTTTTGGCACCGGGTGATTTGCCCGTTTCTGTTTTTCGAAATCTGGACTTGGGTTTTTGCTCACACTTGTCTTCACGATTTCCATCTCAGATACACTGTGGGTAGGTTGCTGAATGAATGGAAGTATGGATGCCATGTTTGGTTGCTTGTCTTTCTACCGGATCCTTGCCTTTGCCCTTGTTTACTGCCTTTGATGCACTCATGAGTAGGACAAGAATTTTGTGCAATCGGTAATCCTGTTCTCGTTTTTGCTTATCTTTTGATTGGGCTGTTGTGGTTGTTGCCTCTGGCATGCTAAAAAATTATGGAGTGATTAGACAATCGGATGCCTGGTCCAGCAGACGCCACGCGACGACGCGTGTAATCACGACCTGATTTGCGCCTTTATATGTATCCCCATGCGTCGATTCGACAATTGCAGAAGTACTATCTGATTGGATACGGCCATCCAGGGCCTGCGTCGGAGCAGTCATTCCGTGCGAACACGCGTAAGCGCGACTTGATTCGCGCAGTCTGCACGTGCTCACACGCGGTGACCGCCATAGGCACAAACACGCCCGTAGGCATCTCGCAGCTCTGCGATGACATAATGATCCACTTAGAGAGCTCGGATTTGTTGTTGTACGATCCGAACTATTTCACCCCGTGGATAGCGGAAAGCCTTAGACAGAGATACCCTTGCTTAACCGAGAATCGACTGTGTCCGAGGGAGTTTCACTGCGCAACATCGGGTCGATGGATGGAGAGTGGCTATGTCCCCCACGTCGCGGTCTGGCCATGCAGAACGTAGGCAATCCCTTCCCTTCCCTCTTCCTAAGTCCTTGCAATTCCGTGTTCTTTGCGCATGCATGCACGCCATAAATTCCGGCTGCGCGATTGGATAGCTCTCTTAACCAGTCGCTGGAAGCTCGGGGTAGCAGGATCGGTGAGGGTCGGCTCACGAGGGAAGTAAGAGGTAAGTCGAAGTGGGAGTCCATGACCCGACGAGCTGGTGCCGAATGTGCAGGGTTGACGCGTGGGGCTACGATGGACTGTAGCGCGCGGGCGAACCTGACAGGTGCAGGAGGACTAAGCGGGGTGACGACTTCGTGGGTTGGTGCGTGATGATGGACTTTCCGCATCGGAGAGAGAGAGAGAGGGAGAGAGAGCTGAGGTTGATGGACGTGGATTTGCAATTTTCTTTGTCTTTTCCTTTAGTTTTGTATATAAGTTTTGATTTCGGCTCGAGCGATTCGCTCTCATTTTCCTTTGGCATCTTTGTTTCAATATTGGTCCTTGTATGATGTCTCATTCTGTATCGGTCCTTCCTCTTTTGTGTGTATGGGATTAACTAGCTCGGATGGAATGATATATTTGTCGTTTTTGCCTAGTCATCATTATTGCTTGTCACTTTGATCCGCTGTTATTATGGTAGGAGTTCCGATGTTGTCGCGATGTCTGATGTGTGTGATGACACCTTGCATGCTCGGAAATGATTGCTTATGGGACCACTGAATGATTAAATGATTGGGTAGTTATCCATGACACGTGGCGATTTTGCATGAGGGATTAAACTCTTTTTTTTGCGTAAGCGTCACCCAACAGGCCCGGGTGCAAGCGAACACCTCGTATGGATACGTGTAAGCGCGATCTGAATTGCGCGGCCTACACGTGTCCACACGCGGCGAATCGCGATCGTTGACGAGCCTGGTACCTCCTGTATTGGGATAGGCGAGGAATTTTCCTCCGTTCAAGCGCCTGAGTTGGCAAGAATTTCCGACACCATATCTGGAGATCCCCCTGTCAGCCAGATGCGTACGGAAGGCTTCCACTACGCCGCAATGACAAGATGACGTACATACGGGACTAAGGGTACTTCGAGCACTGGGAAGAAGAAAAATATCTTAGGCGGAGATACCCGGAATTTCCCTGCCTAACCGAGAACCGATTGTCCCCCAGGGAGTTTCACTGTGCCGTAACCAGCTATCCGAGGTGCCCCGATTACCCAACTACCTATAACACGCAATACTTCATATCCCCCGGCTTCGTCGTCATCGCTACCAATTTCCCTCCCTTCCATCTCCTCCTGCCGTGGAATTCCATCGCCCCGTATTGGCCCCACACGCCATGCAGAAACTGCCGACGACGCGGCAACTGTCGATCCTTCGGGACCACGGAGCCTAACTATAACGAGTGACGACCATCGGCACGTGTCCACACCTGAAGGGTCGACCCAGGCCACTCACACAGCGGACCCCTTCCGGACCCCCTTCACTAAAACGGGCGGATCGGACGACCGGAGATACACCGCACATACCATCTGCCTTATACTGCATGACCGCCATCGGACAGAACGTAACCCGTCCCTTAGTCTTATTGCACCTATGCCCCTGAGTCCTTGCTACAGGAGATCTCAGTTCTGACCTGGGACTCCATCCCCACTTTCCCAAAAATCCTTGGCACACCCCTTTTCGCACTTCCAGGCCCACATCCCACTCCGATCACGAAGTCGCGTCGGGCGTGAGGTTGGTATCGGAGCCCGACACGTGGCAGGATTCTAGGATTCATAGTTGGGCAATCTGGCTAACAGGGGACGACCTCGATCTCGGAATGCGCATCGACGCGACCCCGTCGTTACCAGAAGCCGGTCTGCGGCTCGACAGGCGGTCAACATGAACGCTAATCAACAGAACCCGAATCCACAACAAAACCCCAACCAACCAATAAATCCTAATCAACCCACACCACGAGCACGGGCTCCCATGACGCCACCCGATCTCTATCTGTTTGACCTTGCACATCATCTTGTTGGAGCATGGCTGGCCACGCTCCGGGCTCAGCAGTATGATGATAACGAGGCACAGGTGAACATTCCCACTCGATTGGGGGGAGACGCTCATCATTGGTTCAACACCTATGTATGGGTAGATCTCACGACATTTGAGCGAGACTTTCTAAACCGATTTGATTATATTCACCCAGAACAAGCCCTTTTTATGATTAAAGATCGAGTTAAAAAATCCCTCGAGTCTGTCACCGAATACCGAAACAGGTTTTATCGAATGTTTGTAAAGACTGAGCGAGGCGAACAAGAAGGAAGAGATTTGTTTATCGATGGGTTTCGCAGCAGAACGATGAGGGCGAAACTGCGAAAACAGTTCTCCCCCATCAATCACACGCTGCAGCAGATCATGGCAGTTGCAGAAGAAATGGAACGAAAGTTCGCCACAAGTTTCCTAGAAGTGGAAGACTATCCTAGGGAAGGAGACTCGTCCGAACTAGCGAGAGCTAAAGCTGAGTTGGCCGCGTTACAAAATAAATTCGAAAACATGGGGTTTGTGTCTGGCCCTGTCACCTATTTGGAGCAGATTACTCCCAAATGACCCCGAGTGTGGTTACAAGCATGCCCGTTCCAGTGATGACACCACCCCCGCCACCAATCAAAAATCCCGCATGACCAAATGAGTCTTCCGCCTTATTGGAACTAACCAAAACAGTGGTCAACCTGATTCAGGAAAGCAAAAAGGAACAATGGGAACACAATGCTCGAATAGAGGAGATGATGAGGTCAATGCGACCAATAGTGGTGCGTGCCGCCCCGATCAACACGGGCTGGCTTTGGCACCCCCTCCCGCCGGGGTTCCTGGCAATCTGAGTGTCTGTTACACATGTTATCAACCCGGACACATAGCCCGAGATTGCCCTCATCGGCCCCCACAACCACGAATCGGAGTTTTTCGCTTTTCTAACCTACCCTCGACCCATCGATAATCCCGAACCCTTTCATTAGCCCTCCTTCGATCTTCCTTGGTGAAATCCTGGAGGGGGTTACCCACTAAGGTGGCAATCAAAGCGATATTAGTCCATACTTCGACCCTTCTAAACTTCCGGGTCTTCTTCAATCCTTCTGACGTGGCGTCCAAAAAGCGAGCCTCGGTCGGGATCTTGTCAACCCGACACAAGGGGTACTACCATGGCTTACTGTCATTTCTGTATTGGATGCACGAGCCATGGGTTTGTGCGACACATTGTCGACAATCTATCCATTCCGCATAGCCTTCCCCGTTAGGACGCATGGAGGCCGAATATATGCGAGAAATAGCTTCGCAAAAATAGCAAAATTTATCAGGCAGGAAGAGAAGAGATGAAGAGGAGAGGGGAGAAAGACGGGTTATGAGATTACCTCCATCACCCATTGTCACCGGTCTGCTTCTTGCCACGTTGGAGAACTGCCACTTGTCCGTACTTAGGCCCATTCGCCGGTTCTGACTCCTTCCACGGAGTGATTTCCTCGCCCTTAGGTACTTTAGCGGGCCGATGTAGACGTATCAGTCCGTCTGCGTTGCCGTGTCTCTCTGTCTTCCGCTGGATGATGTTGAAGCCGTACTCCTGTAGTCGTACCGCCCAACGTCCAATCATGAGCTTCTTCAAGGCCAGCAGAGGCTCATGATCCGTCACGAGGTGGAACTTCTGTCCGTAAAGATACGGATGGAAGTGCTGGATTCCCCAAACTACTGCATAGCATTCGCCTTGAGGTGCTGAATCATTCCTTCGTTCGTCCGACACCATTCGTGACGTGTACTCGAAGACGTGTTCGCGACCATCGTTCCCCTTCTGCGCCAAAATAGCGGAAATAGCCTCCGGTTGCCAGTCCGTGATGAGAATGAACTGTTTCGAGGGGTCCGGTCGAATCAAAATAGGTGTCGTCGCCAGAGCGTCTTTGAGGGTCGCGAAAGCCTGCCCGCACTCCGTGTCCCAACTGAGAGGCTGGTCCTTTCGTAACAGGTTCGTTAGTGGTCGTGCAATCGCGGCGAAGCCTTTGATGAAACAGGGATAGTACGATGCCAACCCCAAGAAGGCTCGAACCTGCGTCAATGACCTGGGAACAAGAGTTTCTCTTACCGCCGCGACCTTTCTTGAGTCAGGCCGCAATCCTCCACGTGTCACAACGTAACCCGGGAACAAAATTTCTGAAAGGAAGAATTCGCTCTTCTCGAGCGCGATCATGAACCCAGCGTCTCTTAGCGCTCCCAACGTCCACTCGATGTGTTGTGCATGTCCGTGATAGGTTTCCGAGTAGACAAGAATGTCGTCGATGTATACGATCACGCAGAAGTTGATCATTCCCTGAGTCAGCCGTATCTTGCTGTCGAAGTTTTGGAATGTCACGTTCATCGCTCGCTGAAACATGGCAGGCGTGTTACAAATTCTCATCGGAGACTGAACCCACTGCCACATGCCTTCAAACAATACGAAGGCCGTTTTTAGCCGATCTTCCTCTTTAACCAGAATGTGATGGAAGCCATGCCGAATATCGAACTTACTAAAATAATTAGCACATCCAATCGCATCCAACAAATCATCAATCCGGAGAAGGGGATACACATCTTTAATCGTGATTTCATTCAGTTTGCGATAATCGATGCATATGCGGATTGATCCGTTCTTCTTTGGTACTAACACTACTGGAAATGACCATGGTCTGGTGGCGGGTTCGATCCAACCGCTTGCTTCGAATTCCCGAATTCGTTCGAGAGCTTTTTTTCGCTCTATCAGGGAATACCGGTAAGGCTTCTAGTGGATTGGGGAATGATTTCCCGTCCGGATTTCATGTTGAATGACCAACGACAAGCCGATGTCAGTGTCCGTCATGCTAATCGCTCCCTGATACTCCGTCAGAATGTCCGCAATCAAACGATGAATCTCATCAGGTACGTACTGTGGCACTTGTAACTCGAAAAGATGATCCCAGATCCGTACGTCGATCTGCTTCATGCGTGCTTGTTTCGCCACATTGGGTGGTGGCGTGGAGATAAACAAATGGTCCGATCGTCAGGAGAACACCATGACCATCATCTGGGCGTCTTCCTCCCGGATGGCCACATGTCCTTCCGGGGTGATCCCATCGCAGATATCTTGCCATGGCACGGTTCTAGTTGCAATCTTTACTCCGAGCTCATCTGATTCAGCTTCGAGACGCCCAGGGGGTTCCAAAGAACTAGCTTCCGCCCCCAGTCACTGCTATCCGCATCCTTCGATGACGACTCATCGTTTGCGGAGTCTTCCCAGGTGATCATACGAAGAGTCCCCGCTATCATCGGCGAAACTCGCGGAACTGCGTTGATGGTAGTACGAAGAGTCGGTCTCATAGGTACAGCATAGGGCGTTCTTCCCGTATTTCGGAGGATGATTGACCGTCGCTCGAAATCCAAGTTCGCTTGCAACGCCACAAGAGTGGGAAGACCGAAAAGAACGTCGTAGGTATTTACGTCTAATACCACGACGTCTCCTAACGCATGCACCTTTCCTTATCGGAAAGCGACATTTGTCATTCTTTCCACCGTTTTAATCTTTTCTTCGTCTGCCGAAACGAGCTGATCCTTTTTTGTAAGCATGATCAGATCGTTTCTCCTGCCTTCCCTCTCAACTACTCGCAGCGAAATGGCCAGAATAACAACTCCTGAATCAATGATCGCATTGTACGGAATTCTCCATATTTCAATATCGCATTCCGTCGATTTCCAGGGGATGGGTTTAATCCGTAGGAAATGATCGTCTTTCTGTATTAGTCCTACCCGTATTGGATCTGACGTGCCCGTCGTATTTTCATCCGGTGTGGGGCTTTTAGCCTTTACATTCGGTGTTCGAGCGAGGGTGAATCGCTTTCTATTCGCCTTACAGTGTTGTAACATTCGCTCATTTGCTTGTTCGGAGATCGAGAGCAGATGGCCGATCGGAAGTGGAATCCGATGGTCCAAGGCTCGGATGATGTCGAGCACATCGATTTCCCTAGTGACGAAGGTGGGTCCTCCCGACTCCATCTCTTCTGGAGAAGGTCGCCACTCAACCACTTCTTTTTGTTCTGGCGCCGGTCTGATCGTTCCGATCATTCCGAGCCCCGGATAACCAAGCGATACGTATTGGTCCAGCGGGATGAGCTCAGCAGCTTCTTCCGCGGTAGCTAACGCGTTTCCTCCACCTTTTATTTCCTCCATCAGGGCTTCTATTCGTCCAGGTCCGTTAGCGATGGGGGCTGCTGCCATTGGTGCGACCGCGACCCACTGTTGCGGGGGGCGGTGGGGGCAATCACGGGCTAGATGCCCTAGTTGATGGCATGCATAACATACGTTCAGATTGCTTGCGGGCCCTCCGAGAACAGGTGCTGAGGCCAATCCTTGTTGGATCGGGGCGGCTCGTACTGCGATAGGTCGCATATTCCTCATCATAGCCTCCAGCCGAGCATTATGCTCCCGTTGTTCCTTTTTACTTTCTTGGATCAGACTAATTAGCGTTTTGGTCAGTTCAAATATGATGGTTGATTCATTCGATCGTACGGGATTCTCGATTGGTGGTGGGGGTGCCGTCATTACAGGTGTTGGTATCACGGGGGCGGGCATGCCCGTAATCACATTAGGTGCTGGTCGTTTGGGGCGTATTTGTTTCATATAGGTAACATGTCCTGATACAAACCCCATGTTTTCAAACTTGTTTTGCAACGCAGCCAACTCAGCCCTTGCCCTCGAAAGCTCGGACGAGTCCCCTTCCTTATGATAGTCTTCTCCTTCTAAGAAACTCGCCGCGAACTTCCGTTCCATCTCCTCTGGAACTGCCATGATCTGTTGCAGCGTGTGATTGATGGGGGAGAACTGTTTCCGCAGTTTCGCCCTTATCGTTCGGCTGCAGAGTCCGTCTATAAACAGATCTCTCCCTACTTGCTCGCCTCGCTCAGTTTTCACAAACATTCGATAGAACCGGTTTCGATATTCTGCAATGGACTCGAGAGGTTTTTGAACTCGGTCCTTGATCATGTAGAGTGCTTGCTCTGGATGGACATAGTCGAATCGATTCAAAAAGTCTCGCTCAAAAGTAGGGAGATCCACCCATACATAGGTACTAATCGGACGAGAATGTTTACCTGAGCTTCGTTATCATCGTACTGCTGCGCCCGAAGCGTGGCTAACCATGCTCCAGCAAGATGATGCACAGGGTCGAACATATAAAGATCAGGTGGTGTCATGGGAGCCCTTGCCCGTGGGGCGGGTTGATTATGATTTTGTTGTTGATTGACATTCTGCTGCTGTGGGTTCGGATTCTGTGGATTAGCGTTCATGTTGGCTGCCCGTCGATTAGCGGATCTACTTCGGGTGATGAAGGGGTCACGTATATGCGCATTCCGGGGTCGAGGTCGCCCTCGGTTAGCCAGAGTGCTCAATTATCGTGCTGCCACTCCTAAAACCCGGCCACGTGTCGGACTTCGATACCAACCTCACGCCCAGCGCGACTTCCTGATCGGAGTAGAGTGTGGGTCTGGAAGTGCGAAAAGGGGTGTGCCAAGGATTTTTGGGAAAGTGGGGGTGGAGTCCCAGGTCAGAACTGAGATCTTCTGCGGCAGGGTTTTTCGGGGGCACGAGTGCAGTTTGGTGGAGAGGGCAGACCGCCTCTGGTCACAAGGTAGATGGCATGCGCGGGTCATTCAAGGTCGGGCGAGCCACTGGTTCCCAGGACGGCGGTTTGCGGGAAGGTCCCTCTGGGGTGGGTGGGGTTCCGATGAGTCAGGTCGTCGGAAGTTGCCACGTGGCGCCGGTGGTCGCGCGTTCGGGTTAGGCCTTCGGGATTCCGGGGCCCTTTGGTTGCCGCATCGTCGGCAATTTCCGTAGGGCGTGGTGGGCCAGTATGGGGCTATGGCCTTCCACGGGACGATGCTAAGTCGGTGATACGGAAGAAGAAGACGGAAGAGAGGGAAGCTGGTGGAGATAACGACAAACCCGGGGTGGGTAAAGTCGTGGGTGTGGTCCTGAGTGGGGAAATCACAGCACCGGTGGTCGCTAGTGGTGGCGCAGTGAAACTCCCTAGGACACAGTTGATTCTCTGTTAGACAAAGGTATCTCTGTCGGAGGCTTTCCTCTATCCAAAGGGTGAAATAGTCCGGACTTTGAGCTCTCGGAGTCTGTCATTATGTCATCGCAGAGCTGCGAGCTGCCTGGGGGCGGGTGTGTGCCGATTGTGATCACCGCGTGCGAGCACGTGCAGGCTGCGCGAATCGAGTCACGCTTGTGCGTGTTCGCACGGGATGGCCGTATCCAATCAAACAGTACTCCTGCAATTGATGAATCGACGCTCGGGGACACGTGTAAAGGCTCAGATCAGTTCGTGATTACACGCGTCCTCGTGCGGCGTTCGGTGGGTCAGACATTCGATCGTCTAATCACTCCGTAATTTTCGAGCATGCAAGATGCAATAATCACAACAGCTCAATCCAAAGATAAGCAAAAACGAGAACAGGATTAACGATTGCACAAAATTCCTATCCTACTCAAGAAATGCATCAAATGTCCGAGATGGGAAATCGCGAGGACAAGGGTGAGCGAAAAATCAAATCCAGATTCCGAAAAACAGAAATGGGCGAATCACCCGGAGTCGAAATCAAAATTTATATACACGAGATAGGAGGGAAAAAAGACAAAAGAAACAGCAAATCCGCGTCCATCCACCTCAGCTCCCTCTCCCTCTCTCTCTCTCTCTCTCCGATGCGGACAATCCGTCGTCGCGCACCAACCCACGAAGCCGTCACCCCGCTTGGTCCTCCCGCACCCGTCAGATTCGCCCGCGCCCACAGTCCGTCGTGGTCCGCGTCAACCCTGCGCGTTTGGCACCAGCTCGTCGGGTCGCCCGACTCTTGCTCTACTCACCTCGTACTTCGCTCGTGTGCCGACCCTCTCTGATTGCGCAACCCCGAGCTTCCAACAGCTGGTTAAGAGAGCTAACTAATCGCGCAGCCGGAATTTATAGCGTGCATGCATGCGCGAGGAGCACGGAATTACAAAGACTTAGAAGGAGAGAAGGGGGAGGGATTGCCTATGCCTGCATGGCCAGAACGTGGCGTGGGGGACGTAGCCGCTCTCCACGCATCGATCCGATCATGCAAACCGTGGCGACCAAAAATGCAGCAAAAGAAAGAGAAGAGGGGCGAGAAAGACGAAGCACAAGAAGAAAGATACAGTTGCAATGGCGCCAGTCCAAAATTACAGTTACACACCCGATTAAAGGCGCCGACTAATCAGAATCCCGTTGCAGCCGCATAAAGAAGCGTGTAAGCAAAAGGCGCTGCGCGGCAAAAGAAAGTCCTAATTACAAAATTCCTAAATTCCGATCTAACGCAAAAAAGCAAAAAGCACAAGTCCCGGAAAGAAAGTCGAAATTCCGAGAGCCGTATAGGCTCGACAAGATTCGGAAAAGAATTCAAAGAAGAATTCGAAAAGGAAATTTAAAAAAGAACGAAGTAAAATTCCTGCGTGATGTCCGCGCCTAAAAA